CTGTATAGTAGTCAATAAATTTGACAATATTACTTTACAATAAGTGATATTAAACTCAAAAACTATATTTGATAATAAAAAAATATTATCATTATATCATTAATTTATATAGTAGATTATAATTTTATACTTACAGTATAAATTATATATGATATTTAAGATAATATTAAAAATTTATAAACATTTTTTGTTATAATTTAAGGTATACTATAAATTTATATTTTTGATAAATTAAAATTTTAAAATATATTGTACATGCATATAATTTCAAAATCACAGTATATTTTATTTTATTCTTATTTTATTTTTTGCCTTTTACGAGCATAGCTTTTTCATGGTGCTTGATTAAAAAAAATATAACGATCGAGAAAGTCACTTCGCATTCAGAATATTTATTAATTTAATGAGTTCTTCGTTTGGTAATAATTCTGAGGATTCAATAAACCAAAAATTATCGATTTAAGTGCAAAGTACCACATCATTCAAGTCATGTGAGGTAAACCATCAATCCTACTATAAATATGTATGTTTTTTGACGACCGACGAACTCGGTGCTGGCCTTTGAGGGTCTATGTTGCTGATATTCAAGCGAACAGTAAATATTATTGGGATCCACTCTGAGAAGTAGTGATAATTTCATTTTGACGGATATGCACGTTCCCAAGCTGTCGAGAAATTCATTAACAATAATATTCTCATCTACTGGTTTAGCGGTTTTGATACGATTTTTTCTTTAATAAATTCAAATATATTTACTGGGTTTTCACGATATCTAAGATACGTATCTTCGGTTATTCATTGATTAATTCGAATTCCTCAAATGTTTAATTTCTGGAAATTTGACATGAAGTCTCTCGAGACCTTTCGGAATCCTGATAGCCGAGATAAGTGTCAACAGTTAATTTCGTAATTTAAGAAAATAATATCACAATAATAATCAAGGGAGAATGTATATCAATCTGCTAAAGTTTATCCGGTCGGCAAATAAACACTTACAGTATAACAATAGATACTACTGTATAAGTTGAAAGTAACATGTTACACATTATGCTATCCTTTATTTATCCTAGTCGGATATCTACATCGAGTGAAATTTCCGAATCATGAGGAAAGATCGATACATAGTCAAAATCGAACTTCGATTTCCGGTTTATGGTCTATATGCCGGAAATAAGATCCATATTTAAACAATATTTTTGTTTCTTTTATTCCCAATTTATTTATACCTTCATGGTTCATTTTAAAATGAATTTATATTTATTAATGTAAACAAGTGGTATTGGGAATGAAAAAAACTCCCGCCCATGTCATAAAAATTCTCAACTTTCTATTTCTCATTTTTATGGTCTTAATTTAAATTTCAAAAAACCCTCTTTTAATTAATAATAACAGCATTATTATAAAAATTTTTTTGAGTTTGCTATTTATTCTTATGCATATAATAACTTTTTTTTTAAAACAAAAACCATTTATAAGAAATCATTAAATTATTTTTTTTGTTATTTAAACAAATATTAATATGTATATTTATATTTATATTTAAATAAAAATTTTTTTATTTTATGTACATGAAATTATATTTAAAGATTATACAGTATATGACAAATATTATACATCAAAATATCTTTTATAATTATATCATATAAAAATCGATATATATTTTTAAACCATTTATAATAATAAAAATAAATCATTTTGTATAATAATAATAATATTTTTTGAATAAAAATTATTACAGATTTCTTTTTATTTATTGTTTTTTTAATCAGCTTAGTTAAACTCGACTTTTTATTGAATTTATATATAATTATATATAAAAATAATATTATAAAGATATATTTTTAAAATAAATATAAATTATTATTAAAATTAATCTATAATCAATCTATCATATGACTTCTAATTATAATAATATAATATTCTTTATAGATTATTGGTGTCAAATTAATTTTTAACTATTATAAAAACTTATTTACTATATTCTTTATATTTTTAATTATAAATAAGAATCATTAAATCCTGAAAATTGATTTATATTATATTATTTATTGAGATTTTATATTTTAATTAAAAATAAATTTCTAAAATAATTATAAATATTTATTCTGTGAAAGAATTTTAAAACTTTTATATTATAAACAATTAAATCAAATAATTATAAAAAAAAATAATATCCAAATAATTTAAAGATATGTATATAAATTAATGTTGATTTTTTAAATAAAAAAATTTAAATTAAGTTTAATTAATAAAAAATATTGCAATAAGATTTTAATTATATTACTAAAAATAAATTTATTAATTAAAAAATTTTGAAATAAATCAATTACTCAAAATTTGCACATTATATTTTCACATTTAATTATTAAATTATTTAAGTTTTATATATTAAATTAATTTTTAATTATAATTAGTTATAAAATTAATTTTTAATTAAAAAATTTCGACTTTTGATTATAAAATTATATTATATAATCTAAATTTTTTAAAAAATATAATTTATTTTCAATTATGAAATTTTTAATTATAAAATATAATAATAAATTTCAAATTTTTATTTTAATTTCAATATTTTTAAATAGAAAAATAAAATTTAATAAAAAGAAGAATAGTTTCAATAATCAATTTTATTAATCTTATTTTATTTGGATAGTTAATTAGATAGTCATCTATTTGAAGATCTAATAAAATATATAATCAATTAAAAATTTTAAAATCTAAGAAAATAATAACTAGTTTTGAAAATAATATAATTTTTAAATATATTCTATTTATTTAACTTTTTTAAAGAAAAGTAAAATTTTTTAAAAAATTTTTATTTTATTGATTATTATCAATAAATATATTTATTACAAATAAAAATAATAAATATCTATTGATAATTTTAAGAAAATTATATTTATAAAGAGATATATTAATTTTCTTGATATAAATTTTTCTTTTTTATAACTTTTATTTGATTTGAATTAAAATTAAAAATCAATCAAAAAATTTTCTATTTCTTAAGTTCTATTTTGAAAAATAGAAAGGAAGCATTGAAAGAAATTGATAATTAATATCTATATTTTATAATGTTTTGAATTTGCTTTCTACTAGATTTAAACTTTAGGCCTTGTAAAATATAATCTAGACAACGAATCTCATTGTGCAATTATAAATAGTTCCGATTATATACAGTAACTTAAAAAAAATTCATAATATCAATTCCAAATATGACTTATAATAAAATCAATTGATTTTTAAAAAAATAAATGAGCGGCGAATAAATATTTTAGTATACATATAAATTAATTCTGTCCCTAAATCTACTGTAACCAATTATTTGATTTACATGCATATAAAAATACACTAAATAATAATAATAGTAAAATTTACGATTTTTCATTCAACTTCTCAATACGATTTAATTGAAATATACAGATCGAAAGAATGATATTCATTGTTGCCAATGTGATTTAGGTGTACCATATTTTTTTTCAAATGGTTTCCTTCCATTATCGAAAAAAATAGTTTTGAAATCTTAATAGCCGCGAAAACTTTCCATATACTTGATATTGTTGCAAAGTACGGTATTGCCTTTACATGCAAAATCATATATTTGCATTCGAAATTAAAATAACAGAAAAAGGAAAAGAAAAATGACAACCGATATTTATTGTTTTTCAAAATGGGGAATATCACATGAAAGAAATCAATTACTAAAAAATCAATACAATTAAGCCGTCGAATTTTAATTGACAAAGTTTAATTATTTAAATTTGAATATTTTTTAAAAAAGGAGATTAAGAATTCTTTTTTTTTTTTTTTAAAAAAAAGGAGGATCTTGTGTATTCTTGCTATGGTTCCTACCGTATCGTATACTTGAATGTTGTGGGTCTCGGGAAAAAATCTAAAACTTCATGCTCCTATAATTTTGCTTAGAAATGATGAATATTACTATAAAAATTTTTGTTCCAATAAAAAATCTTGTATTAAAAATTCTACACCAATCTTATTATCCTGTACATGTTGGTTGGTTTTAAAATCTCCTTTTGAATATATGAACTTTTAATGTGCTTCATATAATTCATTTTCTGATCCTTTTGTAGAGATAAGATAATAGATTCTGAGTCAGACAAAGATTGTGTAAATAATTTTTTTCGTCATTATCTTTTTTTTTTTTTAACCGAATCATTTAATTTATCATTATTTCAGTTTGAAGAAATTTTTGTTTTTTTTAACTATTCCAAGAAAAGTTTCTTGATTCCAATTTTTAATTATGCCAAGAAAAAGACGAACAATTATCTTAGGTCATGGACTTGCATGATGCACGATGTGATTATTCGATCGTACACAAGCAAATTGCAGTGTTTTAATGCCGAAAGTTTAATTGTTTGACGTGAATGGTCACAAGGCGTGCAGAAGAATGATAAACAATAGCGATCGGCCGTGTCTCGCGTCTCCTGGACGAAAAGTTGAATTCGCGTAATAGATATTGCGAACATTAAAGTCATTCGGTTGATTTGGCATAATTGATCAGATCTTATCAAATACAATAATTCTCTCCGAACACACAATTATTATATTGTGAATAAAGTATTCAATTTATTTTATAAGATAATAAGATAAATAAATATAAATCACCTTATAATCACAATCACCAAGAACTCGTGCCTCTGAAATTCAAAGAGGAAGAAGTTGCTTTCTAGGAAAAAAATATTCATACATACGGATTTAGTAATTAATTTGAAATTTGACTTTTTTTTTTTTTTTCTAGAAAAAAAAATCGCAGCTTACTATCTGTCGCACGTTAAATGCACTCTATAGAGTATACCTTCCCATTATTTAATACAAATTTTCCCCATAGCCTTTTAACGTTATTCTACGTTTGAATTTGTTTTATTATTATTTTTTTTTTTTTCGTAGTTTTTCTTTTCTTTTCTGTCTTCTTTGAAACTTCTATACTTCTTGAGTATCATAATCATAACCTTTTCGTGTTTAGGTAGTCCGTGAAATTAACCATGAAGATCTATCGACTCCTTGACACGGCTGTTGGATGCCAAAACTGCCAAGAAGACACAATTCAAAGCTTTGTTCGTAAGGACGTAAATTCTTTTCGCCCACCTTCTCCAGAGGACGATGAAATGGATTCGGCTATCGATGTTCCCGTCTCCACCCCAGAAAATCCTGTATCCTTTCTAGGCCTCCGTTCTCCTTCTTTGTCGCCGCCAAATCAAAAGATCCCTCCTCCTCTCACTCGAAAGGAGGATTTGTTGCTTGACAACGCTGACTTATGGGAACAATTCTACAAGGTGGATAACGAAATGATTATAACAAAATCGGGAAGATGTATTTTTCCTTTGCTAAAGTTCAACCCCGTGAGTCTTGATTCGACTGCTCGGTACACCTTTGTTCTGGACTTCACTCAGGTGTCCCCGAGTCGGTATCGCTTTAAAAAGGGCGATTGGGTTTCCATCGGCATTGACAAACGGAAATTCTCTACGAGCAGTAAAAATGGGAAGCCGATAAGGAATGGTAAGGTCGATGGTCGACCTTATACACATCCGGATTCTCCTCAATCGGGTAGGCTATGCAATGAACGAGAATGTCACCGAAAACTCTCAAGCTCAATTTACCAATTTTAATATAATAACAAACTCTATTCCTCCTCCTTTTTTCGCTAGGAGCGTATTGGGCGCGCTTCGGTGTGTTCTTTCCAAAAATTAAGCTTACCAATCGTCCACGTCATAACCTATCGTCCTGCAAATCGGGAAAACGCGGTCCACGGGTCAATGGAGAGAATGAAAGCGCATACGACCTTCCTGATGGTCACTTTTGTTTGACCTCCTTTCACAAGTATCAACCTCGTGTGAGAATGATAAAACATTCCTCCTCAACATCCCGAGAAGACAAAGAATTGATCTTCACCTTTCGAGAGACTACATTCATTGCAGTCACTCACTATCAAAATGACGCGGTGAACACACTCAAGAAGAATTATAATCCTCACGCGAAAGGCTTCAAGGATATGGAAAATCATTGCCCGATCGGGGGATACTCGGAAGAGTCGGATAACGAAGTTGATAGTAACGGAAAGATTTCCCCTCAGGGAGAAACAACACCAACACCTTCTCACTTCGCCACTTCTCCAAGTCAATCAACAAGTGACTTGACTTTGGACCATTCAACCTTGATGTCGATCAATGAACCTCCCGAATTCTCTAATCGCACTGGACCAAATGGTTTGAGACGGTCATCGACCAAAGGATCTCCGCCACGTCAAGTTACCATCAATGATCCGGGTAATCGCGTAAAAGTTGTGAAGAACATCCCTTTGGCAACGAACCAGAAGCAAAAAGTCGAGGCACCACCTCCCATTGCCATTCCCATCGGAGGCAGTTTGTTGGATGTGCGCTCAAGCCCCAACCCAACTACGAATTTTACCGCGGAAGGCACACCAAGGTTTAACGGGTCAACCCTCACGTTACCCGAAGGCATGGTCGTCCAAGGTCTTCACACGCCCATCACTCCTTTCGGATCCATCGTTTCCGCCAACGAATTTCCTTGGGATCGTAGTCCCCCCTTTGATAACGAAAGAAGCGAGAATATCTCAACACTTGATTTAAAGTCCAAGCAGTTGAATTTTCATGCATCACCCGTGACACCTGTCACACCGGAGAACGATTACTTCTCAACCTCAGCCTCGACCAATGTCTACACGTGCCGTCTCAAACACGCAGAGAATGAAAATAGGAAATTGAGGGAGTTTATTCGGGAAAGGTATGGCGCAGAGGCCGAAAAGGAAGCTGATGTGGTGGTCGCTTTTGGAAGCAATGATGAATCACACTAGTGATTAGGAACCGAACGTATCTTGACCATTTACTCATAACCCTCCAAAAATCTTTCTTCGGAATGAATGTATTCGCAATTTTACTCGGAACATTGATTTGGATCTTCCGACAATTTATATTCTCAATGAAAAAAACAATTTATGCAAGATTACCCTTCCTAACTGCTCCATTTCTACTACTTCCATAGCTATTGACCCACAAATCATTCTTTCTTTTTTATTAAAAATTTTCCGCCAAGATTTTAAGCAAACTTTCTTGTGTACCTTCTTTTGTCATACTCGAACTTCATATTGAATCAGAAGAATGGAATGTATATGCATTTTATGTGACGCTTAGTAATAATTTGAGTGCGTAAGTTTCTCGTGGGAAAAAAGAAGTTGATTCCTTTTCAAAGGGCGCATATGCCCTCATATGGCACGTATTCAAACGAAGTGTTTATAATTGTCATCAGGATTGTAGGAAAAAATATTGCCAAATTTGGCATCAACGTTTACGCTGAATAAGTCCGACGATTCCAATTTTGTAAATCGACGCTGTATTACTAATTAATCGTACGATTGCGTAAGTACGTACCTCACGACACGCTGGTGCAATACCTATCAAAAGAAAAGAAAAGAAAAGAAAAGAAAAAGAAAAAAAAAAAAAGTATAAAAAGCCCGCTCTCCATTCATCTTGTCACCAATATCATTAAAGTTCTTTAAAAATCACCATCGATTAGTTTAAAATCCACGAGGTCTCTTTATCCTTCACGATGGCCACCAATGACATTCAAGCGTACCTTTTCCCCACGCCCAACGCCAAGAAAGTTACAATAGCCCTCGAGGAACTTAACATTCCCTACGACGGTCACTTTGTTAACCTTAGAAAAAAAGAACAATTCGCTCCCGAGTTCTTAAAGATCTCACCAAACAACAAAATTCCTGCGGTGTTAGATTTACATCCGCCAAAGGAGATCGGAGAAGGGAGTTTGAGCGTTTTTGAAAGCGCCGCCATCCTCCAATACTTGGCGGAACACAGAGCGGGACCCGGAGCACCAGAGTTATACCCCAAGGATCCTAGAAAGAGGGTCAAGGTTAACGAGTGGTTGGCATGGCAAATTTCCGGGTAGATGAATCATCTATTTTTTATTGGTGACAAAATGACTGCACACACACGAACTGATCTTACTTGTTTTCATTAAAAAGCCTCGCTCCTACGATGGGTCAAGCGTACAAATTTAAAGATATCGGAGGAGAACCATATACTAAGTATGCAGAAGAAACCAAGCGTCTGTTTCAGGTGTTAGATAAACGCCTTGGCGAGTATCCTTACATCGCCGGCGAGAAGTATTCAATTGGTGAGTGAATGGTGTCAAGTTCAAAGGTGGATGGATGTACGACGAAAGGTCATTCCCTAATTGCACACATCTTCTCCAAACAGCCGACATCGCATCCTACCCATGGGCTGTGTTATATCCTGAAGCCACAAAGGACGACACGCCTTACCCGAACGTTAAAGCTTGGTTAGAACGTGTGGGATCCCGGCCGGCGGTAAAGCGTGGCATTGAACGCTTGGATGCACTCCAGACCAGTGCTTCGGACTAGAAATCTATAAATATTTTGTCGAGTATATTCATTATACAAATATTGCATTTGTACACTTACACGTATGATATCATATAAATAAAGTTTCAAAAATGTCTTCGATCGATCAAGTCCTTTGCGCGTGACCCTTAACTTAAGGCTTAGGATTCGCCTCGCCGTGTGAAACCAAGAAGCCCTACTGAGATCACGCTAATAAAAGCCTTCATTTTTTTTTTTCCTTTCTGCCAAGCAAGCCACTCTTCCCATTGGCAACGACATACAATTCCGAAATGCAAGTGCAAAAGATATAACTCTTAGATTATGCATATGTGAGGTCGTGATTTTTTTTTTCCGTAAATGATGCCATCATCACAGTGATCCCGCAGATACGCACCGTGCGTAAAAATTTAAGCATAGAAGGTTGTTATTTAAGAATGACTGCATCTCGAGTGATGAATAAAGGATGATAATTTCCTTTTGTCGAGACCTTACTGAAACAGGAAAAAGAAAAACCCTTGAATCGGAGTAAAAATAGCGCCCTCTCTATTGTGCCCCGAAAAACTGGTTAGGACGAAAAAAAAAAAAAAGTCAACTACTCGAAATAGGACCCAATGAGAATACGTAATTGGGTATTATGCAACATCCTAAATCCTTGAAAGTTAGAAATGCGTGAACAAGGAAATTTCCCCTTCTTATACTGTACCATGCCGTGTATAATAATAGAGCTCACGTTTCGTCTGCAATAAGATCACGTGCCCGTATACTTGAATTTGCTATTGTTTTTTTTTTTTTTTTTGAAACATAAAAAATATGATCCGATCAAATGTGTCACGCACGTTACATGTACTATTGTTACAACGTAGGAAATCATTCTAAACAAAAAAAATTTCCTAATATTGATTTGAGCTAACTCCGGATGATCACTCTTGATTCATTCGCATTCTATAAAATGCCTCACATTCCAAGCATTTCTTCCTCAACAACAACAACAAAAAAGACTTGGCACATTGATAAAACCAATTTTCACTGGCAAAGTAACTCGGAATTTTCGTATAGTTGAAAGCGTGCACACCTCTCACCTATAGGAAATAAAATAAAATAAAGAAAAAGGCAGATAGCCTCTCCCTACTCTACTCCCCAACTCTTGATAATCATGTCCGAAGGAGAATCGTCAGGAAAGGTGTTTATTATCATTTTGATTCATCGTTCCAGTGTAACAACAGCTGCTTCGGGAGGGCGAATGAACGCGAAAGAATTCCCCGAATTTAACTTGATTCGTCAATTTAAAATGAAATAGTGGCGGCGGATCACATCGTCAAAGTCCTCCGGCACCTTTTTTGCGCTCGCAATCATACAGATGATATGTCTGATCCTGTTACAGGCGAAAATCACCGGTAGAAATGTTTACTTCGTCACAAATGACATAGTCCCCTACTTCAGCAGTAACGGTGCAATAAACGGTACATGTTCAGTGGAGAATATGATATATCCATTGACTTTGTTGTTCGCGGAAAATCTGGTTTTTCTGATCTTTCACGTGATCGAAGTATTCTTTTGCATCAATGCGGTTGGTATCCACGCATCGCCCTCTTGTGACCGATCGACACGCACTAATGAAATAACGTGACGTGTGATAACTTTCAGATAATCGAACGAAGCATGATAAGAATTATCGCCGTGCTCATATTAGAATACGGAACAGGCGTATTTGGAATTGTAAGTAAATCACACTTTATAAACAATCGGGTCAATTGAATGTCGGCTAAGTACAACATCTCTTTGATTATTGCTAGTTACAATTAAGCGAGGCTGAGTCAACATTCGGAGGCATAACGAATAACTGCGCGGGGCTTACTTTCGACACACAATTCAATACCAATGAAGTCATACATTTCGTTGCCGCCTTCGCTTTCGCCATTCTCTTTTCGGTGCTGACATATCCTCTGTTCCGGCAATACGGGTGGTCGGTATACAGGAAAATTAGCATCGACGAGGATTTGATAAGTATGTGCTGCTCATGGGCATAGGGGAAATCGTTTCTGTAAGGGAATCCTTATAATTTACCGTCTCACTATTCGCAGAGGCCTACAGGACAAGATTGATGTTTATCACATGCTTGGAAAAGGTGGCGATGTTTGCTTTCCTATATATTTTCCTCTCGATAGGTGCAATCTTGCCTCTGATCAAGTACTCTTCCACGCTGTCGAAAATATTCTTTTCGCTAAATTTCTTGATACAAGCTCTTGCCCTCGCCTTTGTGCCACTCGCACTTTATGGGGTATGCAATCGTCTACTTATTCCATCGTCACGTTTGATCACATGATACCCTGACAACTAATGGTGAGAATTTTAGGTCACCGAAGAATCGAAACCTGCAATGTTGGGTTTCATGATTTTTTCGTTCTTCATGTTTGCAAATTACGGATATCTGCTCGGCGTGAACGGGGGATCCGCTGCTTCCAACGGTTTTGTATTTTGGCTATGGTTTAGTAAGTATTTGTTGCTACTTTCGGTCGTCCTCGCTGTATAAACAAACCATCCCGGTATTCATTGACATCTCAAATCCCTCTAGCGATTGTATTCCTAATATTGTCCGTGGTAAGTGATTTATTAGAAATCATCATCGGGTTTTGATTTTTGCTACTTCTTGAATAACCAACCAACTTATCGCCACCTTAGATAACTTTTGTGATCTCCATATTCGCATTTTGGAATTTTGGTGAGGGATTGAGAGCAGCGGGTAAGTCCTTGCCAATTATGAAAGTTTCAAACGAGACGGTGACGTAGATTTAAAAAAATTTTTTTTTCATTTCTTCCTTGTGAAAATCATCGACAGTCAATGAGCTAAAACAGCGTGAACGCGAAGAATCCCTATTGCATAAGAGAAGGGTCGGGGATCCTGAAAATGAAGTGTGGCCAGCCGTGGAATTTTAATTACTTTGTTATCTATTAGATAACAGCATATTATCATATTGACGATTATATTTAGATTGATGATTATATTTATTCTCTTTATAAAATTTATGTACATAGTAAATTCATTTTAAAAAATGTAAATAAGTTTTTATGAACCCATCTACACCTTCACGGTAACTAGCGATAAATTAACGAGCGATGAAAAGTGTATTTGTAAATCCATCTCCATTAATCGTGAAGCGATAGATTTGACGCATGATCTACAATACTGTATATCAATAGCATCGAGATTTAGTTTTATTTATTCGATAGGTCTAAATTGTTGCATATCATATGTGTATTATATTTTGCATACGGTATCTATATCACGGAGTGATGGTTTTTAATAGATAGCTTAAACATTTATACAAGACCCGACGTCATATCCGTTATCTTTAGACAACTTACTGTGGAGTAATTTAATTTCTATGACATCAATAGATCTTTTCTTCCCCCAAAGAATCTTGGCTTTCACATACCGAAATAGATGAAAGGGGTAGCCGTTTCGGAAAAATAAAATTCCGCAATTTTAATTAAATTATACATATGCATTTACATATATTTTAATCGAACCATTTATACGCTCTCATATGACCAAGCAAACTTTTTGTGGAAAATACAGCACGTGGATCAAAGAGGCTAGCAAATACACGTCCTTTTCCAATGTATAAAATCGTTAAAATTGCGATCAAATGA